AGTAATGAAGTTCAGAACTTACAGGTAATATAAGATGAAAAATCACTATATATTGGGAAAGATTGGGAAGCTTCTGGGTAATCCAAGGAGATGAATGGCAACATTTTAATAAACTATTCTTATTCCACCTATCAGCAAATTACAGCTCAATTACTTGTTAGTTTTCCTGGAAAGTGCTATTTAGATTCTACATCTGTAGATGTATTCAAGCATTCAGGGAAATTACGTGCAAAAAAAATCGGTAAAATCACTGTAGATAACTCATTGAAACCCTCAGCCAATTAGTAGGTGCCAGAATATGTAAAAAAAAAATGAACTTGAGATTACTATGGGAAACATTTTGTGTAAAACAACAATGTGCGTTCACCTGATCGAGAGGAAAAACTGTAGAGATGAGGAACATTGAAAAAAGTTCATACAGACTTAAAATCTACTAAGGAGAGAGGTCAATTCAGAACAGTATGTAAAAACTTAGTTTTATAGATGCTGAGACAGCTATTCAGGCTGTCCTACAACATAAGAATAGATGTAATGTGGCAGATGGCAGTTCACTTTCTTAAAATATTCATCAGTGCATTATTTTTGATTGTAATTTGTTGCCACAAGACATCATCTGTAACATGGTGGTTAGAGAGATTCAAAAAAGTGCAAAAAATCACTAGACAGTCACACAGATAGTAGGAATATTCATAAACTGTAAATATATAGCAGCTCCTAGATACCAGAACTAAAAACAAAATCTACTTCGTATGCAAATGTGTTTCTTGGCAGGTTGATTATGCTATCTGAAAAGATACAAGAGCCAAATTGAAAGCTCAGCATATGTTCAAAAAATACTTTTTGCCCTCCTCTTAGCAATTTATTCTCTTTGAATTTGTAGGAAGATTAGCATCCTCAGAATTCTACATATGTATAAATATATAAAATAGGCTGGTGTCCTCAGAATTTACTGGGAATGGGATTAGCAAGTACATCTGTTCACAGTACAGTTCATCTGCCTATAGGAAACTGCTTAAAAAGACAGGGAGGATGTCAGCAAATATTCCATTTTTAGGCTGAACAACTGGGCATTGGTCTGATTTTAGGCATTCTAGACGGTTTTGTAATCTTTGCTTTCTCTTGTTTTCCTTTTATAGCAAAAGAGGAGATTAGGTTCTCTTTAGGATTTCTTCAGAATTTTCCATGCCTCCTTCATCCTTTCAAAATTAATTTCTTGATGAAGTAAATATCTTTTCTTACATGAAGTACATTTCCTGCAAGCACAAATTCTGTCCAACGGACAACAGCTTCAGCAAAAGGGACTTAAAACTTTTTAGACTGAATCTTGAGTGGATTATTTTTAATTTTCGCTTCATTTTTGTACTGATTATTCAGTCTGAGGTATATGTGTGTAGCCATTTTTCCCTGATGGGTTCTGATGATCTCCTTTTTTCAGTCCTGAGGCTCTGCATTATCTTGTCCCACTCACCCTTCAGTTAGTCCTTAATACAGTATCTGGAGGATCATGATACACCTCTGTTTACAGTAAAGTAATCCAGCATTTAATAGAAATTATACCATAGCATCATCATATTGTTTCAGATTAACAAGCACGCCTTCTCTGGAGGCAGAGATACTATTGAGGAGCACAGGAAGTACGGAGGGAACTGTGACGTTGACGTGTCTTTTATGTACCTGACATTCTTCCTGGAAGATGATGACAGGCTCGAACAACTGAAGCAGGTAAGTAGCCAAATTGGAGTGTTGTTCATTCCCTACTGTGAGGACAAAGCTGTAACTCAGCCCTCAACAAAGCTGTGACTGAGTCCTCCTGGGAACCTTCTCCAGGAAGGTAATTCTGGTGTTATTGTTGTTCTCTCTATCCCTTGCCAAGCTTCAGTATTAGTATTTGTTTGTTTGCAGTGTTCTTTCTCACAGGCCAATCTATCTCTTCTTAAAAAAAAAAAAAAATCCCTAGTATTTTCATAAGCATCTCCAACACTGTATAGGACAATATCTTCCCTACCTTTCAAGTTAGGCCACCTTAGGATAAGTGTTGTTTTAATTGTATAATACGCTCTGCCTGTTCTTTATTGCAAGGCACTCAGCAAAACTAGAAAAGCTCATGTCTAAAGCTTGCTGGTTTATTATTTTTTCTTATCATCACAGGAAATGGGATAGCTCTGAGGAATTGATTCATTGATCCCAAGAAAAAACTGCTTCATATAAGTTGCATTTTCCTTAAACCTATCTGGCAGACTTCTGTCCCCAGGGTTTGATAGCAAGACATTTCACTTCTCTTCATCACCAATACTAGATGATGTGTGTTCTCTGGAAGGCAGTAGATAACACCCATGTCACATTGGTTTGTCGGCTTTCTCCTGCTGGGAACAGCTGCAACAAAGTTGAGAGCTGCAGATTCTTCTCCAGCCTCCTACTCTTACCCACACAAGAGCAGGGTTGGATAGGTACTAATTCCCATGCAGGCTGTTGTAAATTCCTTATGGAAATCTGGAGCACATTTGACTTAACAAGCTTCTTTTCATTAGTCTCCAGCCACTGCAACAGTATCAGCCTAACTCTGCTGCAGAGCACAAAGCCTGGCCCACAGCTTGCAGCTCACTGCAGTGGTGCCTCAGAACCTGATTAGAAAATGTGAACTCGCTGATTATGGTGGCATTAGTGGAGCAGTTTCAGTTATGGCACCAGAGGAAGCTTTCAGGCCCAAAAACACACTGAAATTGCAATTCATTTAATTCTGGTTAAAAGACTTTACTGTTGCTGAGTAGCACCTTGAATAGGTGTTACAAATTACTTGATGACATGGGGATGTAAGATTATCATGTTTATTGTCATTTCAAATCATGGTTTAACTGCCTCAGCCGTGGTTTCTAGCTCTTAGTCTGTGCTTCTAGCTAAAGCATTTCAGTATCAGAGCAATGGAATGAATTCCCAGCTGTGAATATGACTATTGGTGTGAACATAGATTCTGAGTGTCTTTGCTGTAAAAAGGATATTTCAATCACATCTAATCTCTTATCCAAATGTAATGAGGAAAAAAAATAAGAATTTGTACCTCACATTGCAAAAAACAGCTTAGAGTGACTGTTTATTTGAACTGGGATTCTGGGGAGGAAAATAAGCAGTTTCCTGCAAGTAATTACAGGATTTCCGAGTTAAACTTGTGAAAGAAGCTTATTCAGTCCATATAATAACTTATGAAAATGCCCAGCTGCCTTAATCTTTTCAAAGGCAACAAGCAATTTTGCAAGTTGCATCTTCAGAGTGATACCACATAATCCTCTAAGGCATGTGCTTATTTTTAAGACATCCATCTATTTGCTGGGATGAGGCTTTTAAAGAAATACTGGTCACTGAGTCTTTTTGTGAATAGCACCATGTTTAGCCACCAACACTTTCTTGACAGGCCTACACCAGTGGGGAATTGCTCACAGGGGAGCTGAAGAAGGTACTTATTGAAACAATGCAGCCCTTGATAGCAGCTCATCAAGAAAGGAGGAAGCAGGTCACAGATGAAGTTGTGAAGCAATTCATGACTCCACGGAAGCTAGCCTTTGAATTTTGAAGAAGTGTGTATGTAATTTAGCACTTGATAATGCAAAACCAAGTAACTGTTGTCTTCTGTTGTATGTCACGACCCTCTAGTTATGTACAGCCTGTAATCAGTGTTATAAATAGTGCTTTTAATGAGTTAATTATCATGAACAGCAAAGTACAGAAAAAGCTTAAAATTGTACCTATTTAAAATCAGAATATACAAGACAGAATTGATCAGTCTTGCAGAAAAGCATGTATGTCAGCACAGCATTGTATTTAAATGTATTTCATGTTGAAAATATAAATAAAATTTCCATTTGATGATAAAGGCTAACTTGGAAATTGTTTTAAATGTGTTAGTAAGAGGTCATATCTCAAACTAGTAAGTAGTAGCTCCATTTTCTTTTGTACTGTGTACCTTGGTTTACTAGACTGCATGTTCTTTTGGGCTACTGGGAACGTGCTGCACACAAAAAGCTAGTTAATGTTACAAAGTGGGATGAGTACAGAAAGAATGGACATCTGTGAGTTGAACACAGGAGAAAGAATATCAGTCTTGTTCTGCTGTTATCTTCCTCTTTGATCTTGGGCAAGTTGCAGAAATCTCACTTTACTTTTGTTTCTGCTGCTGTTTACTGATCTGAGTGCCTCTGGAGAGAGGAGGTTATCATGAGGTTGCAAAGTTCCTTCGTATTCTCAGGTGGAAGATAGTGTAGAAATGCAAATTTTAGTGTCTAGTTATAAATACCAAGTGTTAAATCATGCTTTGAAAATTAAGTGACACTGGACACAGGGATACTTCTTGTACTGTCTGTTCTCTTTTACTGCACCTGTTTAAACTAGGGATAATTATTTTAGGATGTATTGCAGTGACAAAATATACTTTGTTAAAATACCTCAAGTAATATTTAATTATATTCTTTCTTCAAAAGAACTCTTTGGTACTACTTATAGAAGAAAATTTCCAATTATTAGCTTGTTTTGATATGTTCAGTGCTGAATGCAAACTGTTAGATCTGTCTTATATTTATAAAGAACAGAAAGTTCCTAGCCCAGACATAGTCTTATCAAGGGTATTTTTATTTAATGCAGATAACACATGTGGGTATTGATGTGTGGTATTTTGTAAATCATTTAAAAATACAAGGAAGGCACTTGAATGAGGTGTCAAAGATTTCAACTTAACAGGTTCTCTGTGGTGGAGTATAGCGAACATAAATTGACTGTAGTATTCCTAAAAAAAAAAAAAAAAAAAACAACTAAAAACAAAACAAGCCGCTTCTAATTTCACTGCAAATCTTTGAAATCAGCTGATTACACTTGAGTTGAGGGAGATGTTTCAAGGATGAGACTTGTCACTGACTTCAGTAGTCCTTGGATCAGGCTGTTAGTACCTGAGAACGTGCTGGGTGTTTGTGCTGCCCGGAGCTGGTGCCGCTGCCTTCCCCGCAGCAGCAGTTCTGTCACACAGCACACGCCCTCTGCAGCGTGACCCTGCCTTGCTGAGATGGAAGTGCCAAGGTGTACATGAAGTAAACCTGTTCATTTATGTTTGTGCAAGGAACCAAGGAAAGATAGAAGTGCAAGGGAAATGTAGTCCTACTGCGTGAGTTTCAAACTTGTGCTGAAAATAGCAAGGCTTAGCTTTTGTCTTTTTCTTTACAGTTTGTGTGAGCTGGCATCACTAATGCCATTTACTTTAATGTATTCATGAAAATGGTTCACAGAGACTGTCTTTATAACTCACACGCAAATCATCTCAATACCAGCAAGGGCTTAACAACCAGTAGAAAAAATTTTATTTTTTAAGAGTAGTGGAGCAATTCTTAGGGAAAAAAATTGCTTCTTAAATCCAGTACTAAATAAGCTAACTCTTTACTTTAGACTTTGATGATGACCTTCCTGTTCTTGCAGTCTATTCTTTGTCGTCTTTAAGCCATACATAAAAGATAAGACTTAAATTGAATTTAAAAGGGCTTTTACAAATTCATAATGCAAATTTCTCGTTTAAAATATTAAATGCAGATTTATCCTGCAAGATTTATTTCATTAACTAAGAATTAATTTAGTTATTCATGAAAGGAAAATATGCTGTAGGAGAAACAGTACTCTATTCTAAGCAGATAGATTAATTTTATAACAATTAAAATCTGTTTTGAAAGTTCTAGAAAGGAAAGCGATAGCAAAACTATTTAGTATTTGTTTACAGAGCAAGCACTGTTTTCAAGTACTCTGAATTCATACCAGCATGCCTCTGAAATGACACTGTTTCTCAGAAGAGCCTTGGTGAATTCCTACATCTGTTGTAATTACAATTCATCTCCCAGAGGCATTTAGAAGAAGGCAGTTGTCAAAAGCACATGTGAAATGTCTAAGAATGCTATCAGGCAATGTTCATTACATTTTACTCAATTTGCTTATTTTGTTCATCTCACTGTAATAAAAATGTAGATAAAAGTCTGTATCAAACTTCTTTGGTTTTACTTTTTTATTATTATTTTCTAAAACCTTAATTGAAACTGGTTTTGACCTCTCTTCCTACCCTTTTAGATGTTGACTTTAATCATCTGATGTAGCTGGTCCTTGTTTTGATGAAACAAGGTGCCTTATAACCCCCTTCCAGGTAGACTTCAGATTGCTCCCAGAGTGAGCTAGTAAGGGTCAGTTGTCCAAAATTACCTGTTTGCCAGTCAGTCTGACTGACATCCAGTCTGGATGTTGAATGTCCCTGTGTACAGCAGCCAGCTCTGAAATGGGGGAAGGTCAATGTGACCTCTTTACAGGTAGGTTTGGTATAAAACTGGTACTTCAGTGGAAACATGGTGCGCCACAGTTGCTATGCAAGAGCACAGATTCTGAATAGGTTCCTGCAGCTCTTCTAAAGTCACCAAAAAGCATGCTGAAACCTACTTGGATAGTCACAAACATTGTCAGAGGAAACAGGAACTGTCAGCAACATGAAACTTGAAGCAGAATGTGCCTTCTAAGAAAATTCTCTTTTTTTCAAGGCCACCAACTTTGTTACTGAAAGAAATCATCTGTACAACAAGCTGCAGTCCCTATTGCAAAGTAAACCCAATATCAGCACAGCAAATGTGGCATCTTCTTTCTGTTAGCTGGCCTTCAGCTGGCTAATTTATCAGAATAAATAGTTCTGTGATTGTTAGAGTAGCTAAAGGTCATGATAATACAAAGAAATCAGAAAATAAAGCAGTCAAGTGCTGAAAACCAGAAGCCAGAGACCCAACTTGGTGTGTGTGTGTAGTGAAGTACCTAATATGTGTCATGTCAGAAAACACAAATTGGTTGATATTTATGTGCCTGTGTTTACAGCACTTGCAGTCAGTTTCTGTACCTGGTGGTGTTTTTATCAGCGTAAATTAGCTGAGAGTGAGTTCTTACTCTAGGGCAGGTTTTCACCCATGCATTGTATACAAATTTTTCCCAGTAAAGGGCTGTGAACAGGATGGATTGCAAAGGCCTTACCTTCCTGAAATAAGCTGCCTGGAGATGCAATTTGCTTCTCATGTAGCATTTGTTCAGGCCACATGGCTTACATATGGTGCTGAATGCCCCAAGGCTTACAGTTCTCAGCCCCTCATACTGGCTTCCGCAATTATTCCCACTCATATTTACAACTCATCTGTAATTCGTGTCTCAAAATCAGCTGTTCAGTTCCACTGACAGGAGACATTTTTAGTCATTTGAATGCGTGAGCCTATCAAGAAAGATGAGCTGGTTAATATTCAAACCTGGGGCTGGCCATGGGTGGTATCAGTGCTGCCTAACAATAAGTGGTTGTTTAGTCTGTTTTGCAGGCATTCTTTTACTAGCTCTGCTCAGGGGATGTAATGCCTGGAACAAGGTCAGCTGAGAATAAAGCAGCATAAAGGAGTTTGATTCCAAACATCCAGGCAGAGCTGGGATAAATCACTGCCCAGCTGGGACAGGGACAGCACTCAGTTAAATGTGTCCCTTGTATAAAAACGTGAGGGTAGTAGACTCTTAAGAGGTATCTTAAGAGGATTTCCAGACCTTGAGAACTTAATTAAATCTTCAGTTGTAAGGACATTCTGACTAAAGGTAGTTTGGTGCTGACACTCAAAGCTGTAAGCAGGGGTGGTAGGTTGCTGGGGCCATAAGCACTGTGGAGAGAATCCAGTTCAGTGCTGGGTCTTTAATTTCACTCCCCCTTAAGGTGACATACTGTGCACCTGCCTGGTCTTTTAACTCTGCTCTTGGACCAACTGCAAGAGCTGGGTAGACTTGAGAGAAGAATTATGATGCTTGTTTGATAGCAAGGCTGTAAACATGTTTAAAAGGCCAGTTGAAGGCTTAGATTTCAGGAGTACAGTTGTGGACCTTTTTAGTGGTCTCTGTCTGGAGTGGAAGAGGTCCCCTTTATTCTTGACTAGTAGCACCTGAAATCTTTAAAATTGTCATTCTAGTACAAGATCATTTTCTGTGTCCAGGGCAGCTGTCAAGTCTGCTGCAAAATTACTGTCGGTGTAGTCAAAGCCATGCCATCAACTGGTGAAAGTGGCTGTGGACCAAAAGGGTCCTGAATATGAGTACTCCTTTTAAAATATAGTACTCCTCTTCCCCTCCAAGAAACGCATTTTTAGCTGAATGTGAGAGGGGTTGGATCCAGTCCACTCCAAGTGTCATCATGCAGGGATTAAAACAGAGAAAGAAAGCATGTATGTGGCCCCTGAAGCAGGATGAGCAAACTAAAGTATTTCTGGGATTAGGGGTTTTCCTTCTGAAGCAATAACATGGGTGTTCTTTTTTTCAATTCACATGTTAATGAAAAGTAGGAAAAAGTAATGAAAAAGAAGTAATAGGAAGATGAGAAAGAAGTAATAAATTCTTTCAAAATATACCTTTGACAAAATAACATTTGGCTGCTCCTAACAGCATCATTTAAAGGGAGAAGAGTATGCACTTTTGAAAGCTGTAAATCTTAATTATGCTCTACAACTTTGCAACTCTCCTTTAACTTGCCTAACCCCACTAGTGCGCAGATTTTACAGCAGCCTTTCCTTTGAGAAAGCAAAGAGGCTTTGCATCTATTCCCACCCTCCCTGCAGGATGAGAACAGATTGCCTCCAAAGCTGTGCCAAGCTCAGAGAGATGCTGTTCCATAGGCCTCCGTGAGAGGCCTGATGCTGCGTAGGGCTCTGGGAGAAAATCACGTGGCTGCCGGGAACCCGTGCCTGGCGTCACTGCAGTGAGGCCATTAGCTGGTTATGTAAACAAGACCATGCCTGCCACTCATTAAATAGCAACAGGGAAAAGCAAGGACATTCATATTTCAGCTGCTGCCAAGGGGATATAATTGTAGAGTACTCTGAGAAAATTACAGCTGGGAAAGAGAAGTTACAGCCTGAAGCACAAATATGTAAGTCACTCAGTGAATGCAGTGCAGGCATTACATGTAAAGAGCGCAGGCTGGATAGTGTTAAATCTTACACAAACTCCCCCCAGCTCTTGCTTTGGTCGTGAGGATCATTTTCTGGGCCAGTAGAAAACAAAATTAAGTGCTTTACCAAAACCTCTGATCAGACAAGCAGCTCGTTAGAACATAAATATTCCCAAATGTTTCAAGGGCCAAAGCAGCAGCTGCAGTCTAAATACTTTAACGAGATAAAAGGGAGGTTGTATATGAATCCAAGACTCCCTGATGGGTTTGTAATCTTATTGGAATGAAACAAAGCCATCAGTCATCAGCTTTGTGCTGAAATGTCCGTGCTTCTTATGCTGTCCATCAATTCAGCAGTTGATTGTGGATGTTGTATTACAAAAAAGAATAACAAACAAGATACACCTCTGAAAAGAATAGAACAAGCTATTTTTTGCTTATATAACGATCTGCAAATCTCAGTACAGCTTCATACGTTACAAACACTACCATGTTCACAGGAAAGGCACGAATGCAGTTTAAACCCAGTCCTTTGAAAAGCACTTTTGCACCCTCCTTTCTCACACTTTCCCTAACACAGTGGATCAGGCCTTTGTACTTGTGCTGGTCCGATTCATCTATTTGCATCCGTGATTTGATGACATCCATGGGAGTAGCTAATCCCCAGGCCAGGACTCCAGCAAAACCCCCAGAAAGCAGCACAACGAGGAAACCTGTGGGAGAGAGTGAAAGGAGGAGGAATTCACTTGAGTCTCACATAGCTACAAGCATCTCAGATTTGTCAATGAACTTGGGTAACTTTCATGTTTTTTTGGAAGTTATTTTGTCCAGCTCTTGCAATTGTGTGTTTCCAGTGATCTCACAAAAAACTCGTTTTTGCACACATGGCACTTTGAACACCACGCAAACTAGATGTGGTGCAGCCTGAGAGCACTTACACCCTCTTCTGATAGATCTACTTATTTTTATAATTCCTGGGGAGATGCTCTTTGCTGAATGTTACCTATTCAATCTTTTCTCAAAGAGGATAGTTGCTTTTTGGAGCAAAATCACAACTAAGAACCTGAAATGTCTTTACGTTCTGCAACTGGACTTTATTTTCACGCTCTGGACTGACCCTTATCTGTGCTCTGTGATGGCTCCCAGGAGGCTTGTCCATGTTTCATTTCTAGTTACATATCCTGTTTCTGCATTAACAGGATTTCATATCCACATACGAGGCACCAGAGCATGCTGTAAAAACCCCTCCTGCAGGAGGAGGAGTAGCTGCTCAGGGACAAGGTTGTGCCAGTGAAGTCCTCACAGGGAGGCTGCTGGCACCCACACTTGGGGCCCAAAACTAGCCCTGCAGCACCAGAAAACACACACACAGCAGCCCTGCTTGGGGATCAGATCTGGGTGAGGTTTTATAGGTACTGGGTGATGTTTGCCAAGAGCCATTTCCCTCTTAGAGTGGTGTTAAATAAGCCATTTTTGCAGGTAATGCCAGATGCTTTCTGATACCTACCTGGTTTATTTTCCCCATCTGGTGTGAACCAGTCACAGAGAGCAGAATAGGAAAGGAAATATACTGCAGAAGCAGAGCAATCCCTCCAGAGTAATGCAGAGCAGCCCTTGTAGAGACCCCCAAAACCTTCCTCCTTGGTGATCACCTTCAGACAGTGCAGAGACCCTTGGTACTTTGGTTTGGAAACAGGCTGAGATGTGACAGAAGGGTGTGGGTTTCTCTGAGTCTGCATCCGAACTTTAGCCACTTCACTAGGGTTTGTCAACACAACCTGTAACATCAGAGGGTGGTGTTTTAACCCTTCTTATTTAAACAGTGTATTATCCCCCTCCTGAAAACTTGTCTCCCAAATTTTCAGGCAGCAATATTGTCTGCAAAGTCCAGCAAGTTCCAGCCTCCTCCCCTCTGCCTGTGCCATTCCACCCAGCAGCAGCAGGACACGTGTGTGAGCTGCACTGGGCAGAGTGAAAGGCAAGGCAAAAATCAACACCAGATATTAAATACCTGTGACTACTTGCTAAACCAGATGGGCACGAAAAGGGTATGTCCTCAGCTATAGGGAAGCATACATCAGGGCTCTTGTTTGTATATGCATTTGAACCAAGACCATAAAGACTTTAAAAAAATTAGCCTGCGCTGAGTCACTGACTGCTAGGAAACACCTAGAAACCTGACCATCTAGACTGCTCTGTAAGAGGATTGTGACCCAGCATACATTTCTGCCCAGCATGCCATCGGGGTGATGGGGTGAGCTCCACCACATTCACTGCACTTTTGGATGCTCACAGAGATCCATCTGCTTGTGGGAAACTGCTCCTGGATTCAGCCTCACCTCCCCGTCCCAGCATCATACACATTTGCCAGGCAGCATCAGTTCTCAGTGGTGCCCTGTTGAGTTTTAAGTCCTGGCAAGGCAACATTGTCCACTGCCCACTTCAGCAGCAATACCATGCTGGGCTTGTGCAGCCGCTGGGAAAGGACCAACCTGTGCTTTAACTCAGAGTTATCTCTCTTCTTACATAAACACACCATCAGAGCCACTTGGGGAGTTTACTGCCTAAGTTGTTTTCTCTTCCTTGTTCTGTGTTTGCTGCCAAGGTCCATGTCATTCTAAGAGCATGTTCTCAAGTATTTTGATGCTCTAAACCAAATCCAGCATCAGCTGCCCAGCAGGACTTGGCCATCCCACGGACCAACCAGTGAGGGGGCAGCGCGGGCAAAGTATGACCTCCCCTGCAAAAACAAACTCACCAGACTTGTTGCATGTTCCCCTGTGGCCTCCCGGACCAAAAACATTCCCAGCCTTTCCAGCCTCCTGTGTTTGTGAACAAGATCTCTTGTTGTGCTTTCCCTGACGGCTGTTTACCTACCCGGACAGCACCGGCAACAGCTCCAGCAAGGGAAACATCCAGCTTGGATGGCTTTGCATCTGCAGCCCCGTATCGCAGCTTGCAGATTGTACAGAGGAAGTTCTTGTATGTGCCAAAGGAAACAGAAGAAACTGCTGATACGGCAAGGACTGATGCAGACACACCTTTGTAAAATCCCCAAATCTAGTGGGAAACAGAGGAGAAAAAACTTTTAAGAGTGAATGGCATGGAAAAGCATTTGCTTGAAAGCACTGGCTTGTGGAAAACTGCTCCTGGGTTCAGCCTCACCTCCCTGTCCCAGGATCATGCACGTTTGCCAGGCAGCATCATTTTCTATCTTACAGCTCGTCAGCAAAGCTAAATTTCACCCTCTTCCAACAAATGGTTGTGTGCAACTCGTGCATGCCCACCCTCCCCAAACTGACAGAAGCAGCTCTGCTTCCCTGAAACAAGGCATCCACAATGGGTATCAGCAATTCTGATGAAAGGTACCTACTTTTTCTGTCCTGTATGTTTCTTGAACACAGTGCCAAAACCCTTTGTAATGCTTCTCAGTCTGAATTCTCACCTAGGAATACAGGAGCAACTTTAAAATGCAGATATCAGATTTTAAAAGAAATAAATCAACAAATGCCATAGCAGCAAACCAGAAATTAATCATAAAAGAGCATCACCAAACAATTTAATTTTTCTTTGAAGGAGACAACACAACCAAATACGGTGAAATATGTAGATGTAATGAAGATAAAGCATTCTCATGGAACTAGTATTCTGGAAAGGAGGGGGAAAGCAAAAGGGCCTACTTGTTTTTGTTCTACAGCCAAGAAATAAAGCTCCAACAGGTACCTTCACTGTGTCCAGCGGATAACCCACGGCTGTGCTTAGGCCACCTGAAACAGAGAATGCGTCAGAGATGGTTACAACACATGTCACGACAGAAAGTTTTCACACATCACAGAAGGGCATTGGTCAATAGCAGAAAACACGGCTTCAGAGTCCTGCCATGCTTGGCACCAAACCTCTCTTGAGCTCCAGTAATGTTGTTTGAGCCAAGAATGACAGAGAAAAACATGCACATTCCTCTGTGTTACCAAGACACACTCAGAGGAGGAATCATAACATCAGGAGAAACTTGCCAGGGAGGAATAACACCACAATGCAAGATGGGACAATGAGAAACACTGAGAGCACTGCTCCAGGAAGACTGAAGGGATGATATTGGACTGTTTTTGTTTCCCCTTTCAGCTTAGGCAGTAAGGCATCTTTGGACTATGACCAAGCACCCTCATGTGCGGTGTAAGCATCCCCACTCACTTAAGTGAGTGGAGCAATTTTGGTTCTCCATGCTTGACTTGGAAATATTAAGGAATAAAAACAGTGCTCACAAGGATATATATATAAGAGTGGTCCTCACACATTAGAGGTTCTCAGCAATCTGTCTTGAAGACAGGAGAGCTGCTCCTGCTGCCTCCAAGGACTAACATGTCCTGGCTGAAGCTTGCAAAGCACATCTACATGGGTGAGGAATTATTGAAGCATTTAGGTCCACAGCACCATGCTGCACTAAGCCTCTGAAGTGCATTTCCTACCTGCACCAAGCACTGCTGCAAAATCAGGGTAAGGAGCAAAAGCACAGGAATCTTGGAGTCCTGGCAGGCTGGTGTGGTGCTGGGGCACAGCACAACCAGCAGTGCTGCTCTGCAGTGAGACCACCCTCCAGCTGCCCCTTGGGGCACAGCAGAATTTGGGGAAAGCGAGGGTGTGCTCAAAGCCAGGGCTCCACAGCCCTCCCCACACACCAGCTGACTGTGATTCCCCGCCTGCTGCTGTGACAGCATGTCCAGAGTGTGGGGGGAGCTGCCAATCCTCTCTCAACACCCAGGCTCACTCAAAGACCTTAAAATAGCCACTGGAGTTGGAAATGTAATAATCCTATGAGACAGTTACTGCCTTAATGTCACGTAAGGAGGGCTAAAGAGCTCCAACAAGAATTTCTGTTGGTTGCAGTAACAAATAGATCATCCCCATGCCTGTCCTCACCTCACTGCATTTCCCAGCTCTGATATAAGTGGTGGCAGATACAGCAAGTGATAAAGGTGCTGACCAGCTAACTTCCTCCCAGTACATCTAATGCCAAGTCACCTGAGAGGAAATCAGGCTGGAGGATCATGGAGCTGTATCCACGTGACTTATTTAGACAGAGACTGAGTTCATACAAGTGCTGGATGAGCCCTTCGGAGAGCCAGGCAGTCAGAGGTATAGGGCACATCTGGTGGCTCACAGGTTGTAAACTGCCTCTTATCGAGTCCTTCTTTAAAAAGACTTTAAAACCAAGCTACTTAAATATGTATTAGTTGCTGTGGGCATGTTCACCTGTGATTACATGGCTGCCTGGGAGCTCTGGAAAGCTCTCCGATGTTCTGCAGAAAAGCAGCTGCTGCTACTATGATTCACCAGGAGACAATCCCAAAGTGCATTACTCAGAAGAAAACAGCCAACAGCATCTCACTCACAGAAAAATGAGGTTTGTTCTTCAAAAATATCTATCAAATCTGACATCAGCTAAACAGAAACGAAGGTGAAAAATGGGCCAAGATGGAAGAGATGGAAGGATGGAAGAGAGAGGGCAAGGGGGAATACACAGGCAATATTATGGCTTGAAGAAGCAACACCTTTGATTCAAGCAAAACGTGACAATGCACAAAGTCACCTGGGGACACCTGCACTGTCCTGGCCACTGGCCAGAGTAAACATGGACACTGCCAGACAGAGAAGAGCAACATGTAGGTCAATGCCAACATGACAATGCTGACCTCAGAGCTGCAGTCCCCTGTCCCAAGAACCCCATCCCGCCTGGGAGGATTTGGCATCACATCGGTTTCAGAGTTCCTGAACCTTAGAGGCAGTGGCCATAGGCTGACTGGATGCTATCGACACAGGGATGCAGCAAGCACAGCTAAGTTCTGGCTTGCTCCACCGGCTCAGGAATGTAGGAGCTCATGCAGATCATGTACCAAGGCTTATTTGGGTCAGTGTTTGACAAGAACTGACCTCCCTTCTGGAGAAATTGCCCTGTTCACAATTTAAATGCAAGACAAGAGCATAGCAGATTGCCCCAAAACAGGTTGTTTCCCACGGTTTCTCAGTCCTAAGGGCTCCCAGTCAAGTTGATTCCAACAAGGACCAAGCACCTCCACTTGGGAGGGGGACATAAAGGTAAATTTTTCACTGCTCCCACCAGAGATGTGAATCCCCCAAACCTCCAAATAAATACAGCCTACCATGAACTGCACTCCTTAGGAGCCAAAACACTCCAAGCAGTTGTCAGAGCTGAGGAGCTCAGCCAAGTCCGTCAAAGGCCGAAGAAGCAGGGTACACTGTCACACAATATAAATAGCCTGGGACTAAGATAGCATGACCCACACGTGCCCTGTTTGCACCGCAGAATCTAAGAAGGCCAGCAATGTATAGCATGCATACAGGAGAGGATTCCTGTGGGACTACTGCTGAGTAACACTGCATCAGTTGTGACAAAAATAAATAGCCAAACCAGCTGAATGACCTTTTTTGATTTTAGTGAGCTGTTCTGTATGCCTGCTTTATCTGAGGTGTTCCCAGGTATTGTGCAGAGGTTGTGGCATCGCATCCTACACACACGCACAGAGTGCAGGTACAAAAGGGATTACTCACAGTCTCTTCACAAGTCAGGGTACTCTGACCAGGCAATTTAACTAAGGAGGGATGCTGGTGGGATGACAATCACCAGAAAGCAAGATGTACAGAGCCCACCAGGCTGCAACAGCTCCAAGCTGTTGGCAAACCCTTGGCTGAGAGACCCAGGGAGAAGCAGGGGTCATTGTCTATACACTGCATGAGTAGAAAACAACTTCTGAAGACCTTTGTTTTGTGTAGTGTCCCATCCCCTAAACAAGCTGAGCTTTATTCAGTAACATGACCCTGGAAGTGGTCAGCAGGAGCTGCTTTATCTGTGAGAACAAGTTGACAGCATGTTCCTTCTGTAGAGGGACTATTTTATCTACCCTTGGATTGTCTGTGGCCTCACAGTTGTGGAAAAGCCCAGGCATGCTGCAGACCCTGCTGCTCTACCCCTGCTGAGTGAATCTCAGCCTCCCCATCCAAAATCTTTATGGCTGATGTAAGAGTCAAGTCATCCCCCAGTCATCAATAGCCCTATTTGTCAATCCCCATCCCCTGCCATGGCCCAGGCTGCTGCTGTAGCAAGGCTAGAAAGCATACATGGGATCATAGGAAAATTCAAGTTGGAAGGGACCTCAGGAGGTCTCTAATCCAACCTCCTGCTCAGCTTTACTGGTCAGGAAAGACATCCTTACAGATGAGCTACTTCCCAAATCATCCAGCCACATTTTGTGGTTATTGAAAATCTCCACAATCATTAAGCATCTTTCTCTCATGTTTTTTCCATCTGGAGTCACAGCAGATCACTGTTTCCTGGGCTGAAGATGATGAGCTTACCCCATGGCCACAGAAGCCATAGCCCAGAGGACATGCACAATATCTGCAGCCACCTGAGGCAGCCTGAGGATGGATCATTACATGGAATTCGAATGAGCAACACCTCTACTGTTTTTCAGAGGTACTTAAGCCATGCTTTCTCCAAAACATTCTGAAAACAGATCAAGATTACAAGAATGTAATTTACTAAACAGAAATTCTGTTATTTTTTATTCTGTTATGTTTATTGAGTTACTTGATGCTCCTCAGCTGGGTTTGTAGCCTCCTTAGGAACATGAAAACTGCTTCAGCTCCAACAAACATAAGTCAAGAAACAAGCTCAGCACAAAAATCCATCCCATTCTTGCAGAAAAGCTGTCCCATCCTGGAAGCTGTCCCATGTGAGGGTAGGGATGTTGGCCCTGAAGCCCTACCCAAGTAACTTGCACATGTCTATGTGCAAGCCTCCAGCAGGGAACAGCCTGCCAGAACACACCTCTGTCACCAGTGAGAAGTTGCATTATCCCTTCTAGATAAAGCCCTGAGATGGACGTAGATTACAGGATGGAAAATCTTGCTCTCTGTCACCATGAGGTCAGTGAAGTGTCTTAAAACAAGCAAAGACTTTTATGGTCTGAGCTGGATCCAGGCTGAGCCTGTATCCAGGGCACTCATGGGGGATCCCTGCTTCATGGTCGGACAGCTCACAATGCTGGTGCCTGCCCAGGGGGTTACAGCACAAACCACGGCTTTTCATGGGAGCCGGGGCAGAATGCTGAGGTGAACAGTCATGTTGAAACTATGTTTTCAGCTCTTCATTTCTCTCGCAAAAGAAGTTTGTCCTTAAGTGGCCTATCTCAAACTGCATCAAAAAAGCAAAGGAGTCCAAGCAACAAATGCAATCATCTTTACCCTACCATGAATATGAAGTCTTAGAGGAGGTTTGGTGAATCCAATGGGATGGACATCCCATTGCCAGCCCCAGCACAGGACTCCCTTCTCTACAGGAGAGAAAGAGGAGGAGAAAAACAAGCTGTCATGGAGGGTTGGTTATACCCTCCTCTCCCATGAAGGGTCTTTTCCAAGCAGGGTCTCTCAACACCCAGGAAGACCAACACTGCCAGAAACAGGCACGTCCTGGTCCAGCTGGATGCTGCTGAGATACCAAACCTCTCCCCACTCGCACATTTTGCATGATGAGCAATTAAAAGGTGCAGGGTAAAACTCATCATGGCCCTCCCCAGGACAAGCACATCTGCAGTGGTGCCACAGGGTGCTCCTGGTAAGGGAAAATGCCAAATTTCAGCAAATCTCAAAGTGAGATCTGATGCGCAGGCTTGGGCTGGATATCTCAGCCACCTGGTAGGTTTATGCGGCCTTACTGTCAGTTGTGACCCCAAGGCTTTTCTCTTGCTATTTATTGGTATATATTATCTTGGATACTCCACTAAATCTTATAAGATTTCAGCAAAGAAATGAGACTGATGGGTATATTTTGTTGTTTAAAACAAAGCTGAGTTTGAGCAGTACATGATCTAAAAACGTCTCAATTTAATCACACTTCTCTCCTGTTTCTTTTTTTATGTACAGCTAACCTACTTTCTCCCAGATCATAGCCTGCTGTAGCACGCCTGCGCTGAGATCACCCTTACAACTGCAAATACATCTTAACCTCAAATAATGCAAAGGTCGTTCATTCAGACATTCTTCACTGCAACAACACCATGCTTCCTCCCCTCCTGTCTCACAAATCACATCCTCAGCCCCCCAGAGCCACGATTCCAGCAGGTTGCTGGGACCCCCAGACACCAGGCACGTGAGGGTTTGCTGTCCGGGCAGTATGAGCTGGTTTGTATCAGCACACAAGGTATTACAGTCTGTCTCTTCCTATTAGAGTTCTACCGTGTCCCGCTGCAATCAGATCAGAGGAGATTGCAAGCAGTGACCTCAGATGACCAAGCTGCAGCACTGCCTCTCCAGCAGTTCTGTGAACCTGCTCCGATGACATTTTCCGTTTAATAAAAAAGAATACACTGTTATCAAGCAGACCCCATTGAAAGGCTCAGCTCTGCTATTGAGACTTTGCCCTTTAGCTGAACAAGAGGGAAACACAGCAATCTGCTCTCGTCAACAACCACTAATTTATGTATTTACCTCCAATGGCCCCAGCAATGAAATCCATCCAGAGTGCGTCTGCTGCCTTAATCACCCTGAATTAGTGTTAGGGAGGTAGAAGGAAGGAGTTCTGTCTTCCCAGAGCCCTGCAGGTCCTGCGGAGACAGTGTGATTTGCAATATGAATAACCTTCCTACAGTCTTCTCTTGCCTCTGGGGATTGTGAGCCCTGTGGATACTTGATGAATCTGTACACTGGAGGCAGAGCCGGGTAGCCTGGAACTGATCCAGGAACACAGTGAATAAGTAATCCCATGAAGCCCTGAAATGCTGTGCCAAAGCTGCTGTTCCCAGTGCCCTTCTGCTTGGAAAGTCACGAGGGGTGGTGACTGGCAGGGTAATACTGGCTGTGAAGGGGCCATTCCCCGCTGTACTTATTAACTCCAGAAGACAGCTTTGCACACTTGTTTGCCACAGGAGAATTTCCACGCTTGCCACACTTGTTTGCACCACAGAGAATTTCATGACACCCTTTCCATCAATGAAAATTCCTTGTGCCTTTCCTAAGCAATTTTTCTTGACTGTCCTAACCCACGAAGCTGATCCCAAACCTCTACCCAGATCCTCATGGATTATTACCTGCTCATTATATATACATGTGGCGAAGCCCAGAAATTAATCCAACCACAACCAGAGTATTTGCTTCTATTCCAGACAACAGCATAGATTTCCCAGCCCCTGGAGCGGCTCTGCTTTATCACTTTCTGCTCAGTTTTTCAATCCCCTTTCCAATGTCATCTCCTTTCTGACTTCAGTGGCAGAGCAGGAATCACAATTGCTGCTGACCGCACTCCAGTGCTTTGTCCTGATGGGGTGATGCCTCTAGCAGCACAATACGAATGCCCCCAGTCATACCTCTTAATCATGGGCCTGTTTCTGAAAACCAACAAAATAGAACCGGAGTCCTACTCCATTATTCCTATCTGCACTTTGCCAGCGGCTGGCCTGCTTTGAACACCCTAATTTTCTTGAAGTAAACACTTCAGGCCCCATGGGACACACAGCTAAGAGCATCAAGGGGGCTCCAAGAGGCAGGGGCTGGGCCAGACTCACCCCACGGCAACCCACGCTCAACTGCCGTTCACACGGAACCCTGCTCCACTTCGGCCTGCAAAGCTCTCCTTTCAATATTTGCTAGTACCACCAAGATCTGCACCTGCGGTGGCTCCTCCCGGGCCCACACCCCAGACTTGGAGGAACACTGCAGGGACCCTCCTACGCGTGGCGGCCTGGCCCCCATGGGCTTCACACTGCCGGCGACAGCTGGGTGCGGGCCTGACGCTCCAGCGCCATCCATTTCCAGGGCTAGTTGATTCGGCAGGTGAGTTGCTACACACTCCTTAGCAGATTCCGACTTCCGTGGCCAGCGTCCTGCTCGGCCTCGGGAGCAGACATGTTCTCACCTGGTGGTTCAGCTGTATTTGTCTCTTTGCCATCTTGTGGTATAGGGTTCTCTGGGCTTCTGCATCAGCACCTGAAGTTACGGCGGTACCGACGTTGAGGTGGTTGCTGACTTCAGATCTCATCCCCTTGGTTCTCTTTACCTTCTTCATCCTCTCTAGGTTGTCTTTGACAAGGAGGACCCCTGCAAAATCATGGTCCATAACCCCTGTACATGTTCTGCCTGACTGGTCTGCTGTCTCCCACACCTTGGTTGTCAGCACCCTCCACTATCTCTCCCTGTATGGGAGAGTTGGAATATTGTGGATGATGCCCGTAGGGCCTATGCATATAGTAAGGTGGGTACCACTGCCTGCAACAGGGACAGCATTGCTAGGGAGATGGGAGATGGATTTTGCCAGGAGACTGGTCCAAAACCTATTGTTTCCTTCATAATTTACCCCCCACTCAGGGTGGTGAACTCATCAGGGGAAAGAGGAGAGCACAGAGAAAGACCTGCTGGTCGACGGGAACCAAGTGCTCAAGGAAATGCCCTATTGCCTATTTTTGCACAAGTCTTGTTACCAGAGAGTGTCACATCTACGTGTGAGAGATTAATCTTTGCCCAGAGTGAACCTGGAAACCAAAGTCCTGATGCAGTGAAGGGCTTGCCAAGCCGTGACCTGAAATGTACTCCTCTTGAAGAGGTTTCCCCGGGTCAGAGCCAAGGCACATTGGCAGCAATGGGAAAAGAAAATTTCATGGTTGCTGTCCCTCTGGGATTGGCTTTACAGGGGAGCTGAGGTCTTCAGTACACAATGCTATTTCCTGCATATTTCATAAGAACCTATTTCTCACTGAAGTTCCCGTTTTGGGTCTGATGTGCCAGTGACATATAGCACAGGTTGGTGTGAGGGCTCAGAGTTTCTGGGAACTGAAAATGAAAGGATTTTTATTAAATTGTTTCCCCTTAATTTCCTATGCTTTGTTCCCTGAATGTTTTCTGCACTGGAGAGAACAGATTATTCCAGTGTAACATCCTGCAAGGACAGCAAATACTTGAAACCAGAAGTAAAATATTATCTAGAGAGATAGCAATGTAGCGGCTAAAACACACTGGGTTATTCAGTAGCTCTTCCTTGTTACACCTGGTGTCCGTAGGGGAGTTATTAATGGTTCATCAACAGTCTGCACATGCCAAATGTGGAGAAAGGTGCTGTTTCCTCTTCTCCCATCATCCATTTCTGCTTCTGTCCTTGCAGGACCCCTCCAGCAGTGGAGCTGGGAGTGGGATCTGGTGTGTCGGTGACACACAGGGGCAAGGACACAGTCGTCTGTGGAAGGGCAGCCCTGGAGCCTACAACCTCCTGGTTCCTGCAGGGATCAGGCAACCTGCTGACCTCCTTCAGCCCAAGCTGCTGCAGCCATAGCTACCTTTGGAGTCACGATTGGGACATCACTGTTCAATATTGTTCTTCTGGGAACTACTTCCAGGCAAAGTGACAAGATTCACTACATTCTCGAAATGAAAGTCACACCATGGATGAGGGTGTCACGTGGGGGGAAATTTTTCTACATGTTGAAGTGACTGCTGTCATACCAGCAAGAAAATAGAGGCTGGCTGTCATGTCACACTGGCTGACTAAAGCATCAGGGCTAGTAAATATTTCCCATGAAATATCACAAGATAAACAAAATTCCTACCTTCTTTAGCTGAGCTGAACAGCTCAAAGGGAATCTTCCTCATGAAATCTTCTGAGACTGTAAAAAAAAAACCCCAACCAACCCAAACCCCCCCTTTGCAACAGAAAAGTAATCCTGTATTTATTATTTTAACCTCCATTCACAATAACACTTCTATCAAAATGTTAGTTTGTTTTATACAGCAGAAGGATGACTCCAGATTCAAACATTTTGATAACCTTCTGATAATGGTTTTGATCTCTTCAATGAGGTATACTGGGTTTTCTATTTCACTGGAGTTCCTCTGCAAACAGAGGTCATTCAGAAGGCATCTATCTGAAAGAAGAATATTTTTGGGGCTCGAAACATTTCACCTTGTCCCATGAAGGTATCAGTGGGACAACCATCTCTGGAGAAATGCACACCACTGCTTTAGGGACTTCTGCCCCAAAAGGGGTTTAGCAGAGTAACATGGGCCCCAGGCAACACAGTCGCCACTGTGGTGGTCTCTAGTTCGTTGCTTCTGATGTCTCCTCAGGACTTAGGGGAAAATAGGATCCACTGCCACACATATCCCAGCCATCATGTGATGGGAGCAAGGCAAGAGCCTTCTGGAAGAGAGCCCCACACAAGTTCCAGTGTTCACACAAAAGCATGTACTGAGGAAAGTGTAATTCTGCATGAAGGAAACCCCACGTGAGAAATGAAGCCTTTGGTACTGTGTTTGCTGTTACTTGCTGGCACACTCCAGACAGTACAGACCAACTCCATGCTGACACTCAAGGCAGCAATTCAGCCTCCCATACCAGGAGTCCTCCCAGAGACATGGAGTCATTGAGGTCTCATTTTTCTTCACACTTTGCTGAAGGAGCTTTCTCCTTCATCCCCTCTTCACTAGTTTTCAGAGATATAACATTAACTTACCAGAATCCAGCCCCGCAATGCTACAGGTCAATAGAGACAGTAAAAAAATCCATCCCAAAGAAATCTTGAGTTATCAGGAAGATTTTGATGAAATGTGAGTCATTCCTGTCACCCTTTGACACAATGTCCAAGGACTGCAGATCCAGAGATCACTGCTAGTCCAGCTTGCAAATAAACACCATCTATGCACGGGTGAGAGAAAGTGCCTAGTCCCAACCCAGGTGGTCTTCTCAAAGCATGCCCTAGGAAATGACACAGAAAATGCATGCTTTGAGCCTCCCCAGAGATAGCATTCCACAAAAAATAACTCACAAGTCCTTTTCTCCAGTAGTAAACTGTTTAAGAGTGATTTGTTCAAAATGGGTGAACTTCATGGGTGATTTTGAGAAAGCAGAGCATGGGAGGTGCTGTCAGAGAAAAAGACAGATCTGGCTATATGAAACAATCTGCAGGAAATCATGACACTGAGTGATAAAAATTGAGGAAGGCCGTAATTTTGCACAGTGTGTGATGGATGAAACACTCCATTTGCTTCACAGGAGGAGGCAGCTGTCTGCCTACCCAGGCAGAGAGAACCGCTCCATAGTAAAGTGGCATTGGGTCCAGAGGACTGGTACAAGTGATGGAGTAAAAGGAAAGGTGGAGAGGGAGACTTTAGGTAGGTAATCAGTGTTAAATAGCATCATTTAGATGAGACAAAACAGTAGGGGCATCCCTTTACCCCTCTTATTTCACAGCTCATTCCCAAGATATTACCAACTCCATCCACCCTGAAAAGCAAGAGAAGCTTGTCCTCTTTTGACTCTGTAACTACCTGCTGGTTCGCCATTCCAGATTTGCTGAGAAAACAATCCTTCCTCATTTCCTGCCATAACATGCTGCATTTTCTATCCCGGCAGCACTAGGCTATATCACACTCACATGCATAACCATTAATTTCTATCCAATTTATTTTGGAAAAATCCTTAACTGAATAGACCGTTCAAACAGCATTACCCCACTGTGCCACCAGGCTGTTTGCACATTGCAGAACAGGAAAGAGTGACACCAGCAATGCTGAGCTGGCAGAGTCTGGCACTTGGGTTACGTGGTAGGGGGTGGAAGTGGGGGTGGAGCCTCCCGGCTCCAGCTGTGTTATGGATTTTCAAATCAAAGCAGCTCATTGTCCTTTCTCTCAGGTACTAGCAAAA